GTGCTGAGCCCTGACCTGCAAATCCACATCCCAGCCAGGCTTTCCTCACCTGGTGCTTTCAGAGAGCGCTGCTTTACTGCCTAAATCAAGATTGTCACTTCGTAATAATTAGCTGCAGGTAATTATCCCTTCTCTGGCTGTCCCCCTAAATTTGTGACCCGATCTGCAGGGGAGAGCACCCTTGGGCTCAGATGCTTTGTGTGTTGCTGTGGGGGATATTTGCACTAATATTGCAGGATGTGATCTGGAGCTGGGACACCATGCACAGGTACATGGTGAGGTGTGGGCAGGGAGGCAGCTTGTGGTCCAGATAAGCTCTGTGGATGGTGTGCAGCTTGGGAAAAGTAAGAGAGTAATCCCTGCATGCAGCCAGGCAGGTGACAATGCAGGTTTTGCCTTCGGACAGGTCAGGGCCTGGCAGTTTCCTGGCTGGCGTCAGCCTCTGGATCCCGCGAAGTCCATGGCACGTGGTCTCCTCCAAAAGTGGTATCTCCTCTTCCCTGGAGAGCCCAGCCTTGTGGGAGCTTCAGCTTCATCAGTTCTGCATTTTTAAAGCAAGTTGATACTGGTAATGTCTCAGGTTATGTCTTGGTGGGTTCCACCTCGGTTCACGCGGGCTTAACAGCAGCGTCAGAGTTTGCAACTGGCCTTTCTTAATCCCCTCTGTTCCAAAGAAAAGGAGAAAGAGATGAAGGCAGGCTTACGGGGGCAGAGCATGGACTGCTCCATGTGCCTCTGCCTGTCCCAGTCACTCTGAATACTTCGTGTTTGCTTCCCAGCCCTGCCAACTTCCCGGACAGCAGGCACCATCACTGGGCAAAACCACGTGAATTATTTGAGACGCTGCCCTGCACGCACCCTCATGCCAGCGGGACTGGCCTGGGAAGATGTATTTCTGCCCGCTATCAGGGCTCCCACACCCCATCGAGGCAGCCCGGCGAAACAATGCTGCTATTTACACTTTAAAGCCTCGTTAGGCAGCCAGGAAGCAGGCACGGAGCATGCCGGGAAGCACTGGCTGCCTTCAGCGAAGGCTGGCCTCTCTTCTTCCCGGTCTGCTGGGAGGAGCAGGACACTCCCCGGCTGAGCTGTAACCCTGCAGCCCCTTTCAAGCCCCACTTCTTAATTTCTTTTTTCATCATTTATGTTTTTAATCTCTGCCTTGTTAGTGAGCTTTGCTGCTTGCACAGAGAATACACTGGCTGCCCAGACAAGGATGGCTCCTATCAGGCCGGGGGACACCAATTCCTGACAGCGGCCCCAGGTAGAGGAAGAACAAGATATTGATGCTGCTTTGCCTCTGTCCTCATCAGTGCTATGCTCTCTGATGGTGAACTGAAGTTACAGGAGTTCAGGCAGTGTTTTTAACCTCTCTGTTTTACACATCCCCTACCCAGGCAGGCAGCTCCATGGTGCTGGTCTCGTCTCACAGTACCCTGCTAGCTCCTGGCTGTGTTGGCTCTGTGAGGTGTCCACCATGCGTTTGGTGCCTTGGGAAATCTGATGTTCCCCAGCTCTGTGAGCTTGGCTAGGATGTGAATCATTCCTGCTCCAGCAAACCCACCGGACAGAGCACCAGAAGAGCTTTCCCCGTAGGGCTGATAGTTCGCAAGCAGGAACAGCAGAGGAGAAGGTGTGTGGAGGGTTGGGCCGTGTTGGGCTGTACATGAGTCATGGGCAGAGCACCTGCCTTCTATTCGCTGGGTGGCCACCACCTTGAGCTGTTTAATTGCCCACACTTTCGCAGCAGATTTGTGGACCTGGCCTCGGCTGAGGATGCTGAGCTATGAGATCCTTTCACAGGGTTCTTTTCTCCTGAACCTCCACGCTGAGGAGGAGCCATGGAGCCACCCCACCTCGCTGTTTGCCCAGACCTGCCTGGGCTGGTAGCTTACCAGCTGCAGCGTCAGCCTGATTTTTTTCCCTTGCTGAATGTTTTTGTGTTGCTGGGCCAGCACCTGTTAGCAGCCACAGGAAGCATCTCCTGTTGCCTCGTGTTCCGCAGGGGCATTGCATACTCAGCTACCAAGCAGCAGCCCTCTTTGCACCAAGCCTGCCTGGATCACCAAGCCTGCCCAGATTCTGTGCTCAAAGCAGGAGACAGAGCAGGGACATGCAGAAACACCAGCTAGGGCCAGGCACTGGGCTTGGCATGGGAAGGGCCGCATCCTGCAGGTCTTTGTCACTGCACCTGGCTGGACAGGGCTTGCAGGCAGCTGGGGCAGTGTGAAGGAAAGAGGTGGTGGTGGAGGGATGTCCCAGACCAGGCAGCGTGACCTATGTGTGAGTTAAAGGTGGTGTTCTTGCTGCTGTAAAGTAATTGTGTTACTTCATGTAATGTGTATAGTGTGTCTACAGTGAATGCAGAATTTGGACAGCTTGTATCAAATCTTAGGAATGTTGTTGTTGTTATTTCAAACCACTGAATCCAGGGACATATTTTACGCTGCATTAAAAATAATACTTGGTCAAGGTGCCAGTCTTGCTGAAGTCACATAACAGGCTCCTCTCTACTCCTCTGATCCTGACATAGGTCACTCAGTAGGGTTCCAAAGGCAGGGTTAATACATGTCAGTATTAACCTGCTGGGAAAGGCCCAGAATGGAAATGGAGGTTTGTGTAGAAGTAGATGGCCTGTCTCATCTGCTATCCCACCTCCAGCAGCAGGGAGCTAGGGAAGAGCATGAAAAGCACAATGGATGGAGAATGATGTGTCTCACCACTCGAGGAGACCTTCCTGCACCCTGAGAAACAAGATAGGGACTGAGGACAGCAAGAAGTCTTGGGAACTTAGTCTTCTATGTCTCATCCATGAAATAAAAACAAAGAATCTAAGGATGAGACCTGCTGGGTCTGATTTTTTTTTTCTGCCCCTCAGGACATGATGACCAGAAACAAGCAGTGCTCCAGCCACTGCTGTCTCTGCCTAATGAATCGGTTTGTTTTCAACAGAAGTTTGGGAGTTTTCGGAAGTTGCCTATGCATTGAAGATGCTTCGGTATCATGTTGTATAACAACAGAATGGAGGAAATAGAAATAGTGTGTTTCTAGTACAGTTTGGGCTGAATTATTTTGTCTGTTGGGCACAGGTTGATGTGGATAAAGCAGAAAGCAAAAACTACTCTGCAGTAGCAACTGACCAGCACTGAACTCCCTATTAAAAATTGTTTTATCTATGAAAACATTCAGTGAGAGCAAGGTGCCGACATTGTTAGCAGCTGTATGAGAAATTGTGCCATGTCCCACTTATTCTCATTGCAGGCGGGCAGGAGTGGGAGTGCACGGCTGAGTGGCTGGGCTGGCTCCAGCCCCACAGGACTGGTAGATCCTGGTGGGTGCTGGAGAGAGGTTGGGTTCAGCTGCTGTGGGGAAACGTTGTGAAAAGGCTCCAAGAAAATCAAGAAGTAAATCATATATTTCCCTTGTTGCAAGTTGGATTTAATGCTCGGGAGGTGACCCCCTCTATTTTTGACTAGCCCTTGCTCAGCTGTGTGTGCAATCCCTGTGACTGCTGACTTGGGGTCCCAGATGGCTCAGCAGGAGTGAAGGTGATGCCTTGGTTATTCACCTCTCTCGGCTAATGAGCTCTTGGTTGCAACAAGCTGGGCAACTTGGGTCCCTGTGCTGGTGGCACTGCTTTCCTTGACTCTGGTGCTTTTTGCTCTCCTCCTGTATCCATCATGGTCGAGCTGCTGCTCCGATCCTGTCCCTGCACCCTTCTGCACAGCCTGACCATGGAGTGGAACCCAAAGGGGCAGTGATGTGTCTGGCGCCTCTGGGACGCTTCCCTGCGCTGCTGGGTTTGCTTTCTGCAGTACCGGGCGGCAGTCCTGGCAGTTCGTGGGCGTTGGGAAGTGCCCGTCCCAGGGCTGTGCGCGGGCGGGCAGCCGGTGGAGATCCCGCCTTGGCCCCGGTGCAGCGGTAGCCCGGCACGGCCGGCTCGGGGCCCCGCCTGCGGCAGGACGGGGGCAGACGTGTCTGTGCGCGGCAGGGCCGGCTGAGCCGGTGGAGCCAGAGCTGCCTGGCAGCTCGCCCGCTGCTGCGCCCCATCCAGGTCAGCCCGTCTGCCGGCAGGGAGGGAGCCGCGTGCCTCAGCAGCATCCTGGCACAGCGTGCCGGGTCCTGCCAGCCGCGGGGCTCCCGCGGGGCTCGGGAGCGCTGCTGGCAGCCACTGAGTGCGGGAGCCCCTGGCTGCCCTAAGGAGCCTGAGTGGGTCTGGCTCTGCCCGGCATACCTAATGTCTTCTGTTGGGAACCCCCAGGTTGCTTTCAGGATGTGTGCTAGTTTCACACATTGTTTGCTCCGTTGCAGACGCCATCACACCCCATGCCCCTCTGTGGGCTCCTTGTCCCTTTCCCAGGTGCTGTTGAGATGCTTTGGGGTGGTTTGATCACAGCTGGGGGCTGGCATGTGAGATCTCTCTGTCTGCCTGGATCCGGGTGGCCACTGGCCTGCCTGAGCGGCAGATGGTGGCTGCCTGGGGACCCGCCATCCATCCCTCTGGGCGATTATTCACCCGTCACCATGACGATAGAAAGGTCAGCAAAAAGATCCTGTGTGATTCCCGGGTCGGTCAGTGGGATTAGGAGCAGTGCAGGAGGGAGGGCTAGGGCCAAACCAGCCCCTCTTCAGGCTCACCAGCTGGATTGTCCCCCTCGGACACATCCCCAGAGCCCAGCCAGCTGAGAACTGACAAACTTTGGGTACTAGAGAGAAACCCTTGGGATGGGGTTGGGGCCCTCTGGCTGCTGATCCAGAGAGCTTGGCCTTGAACCTGTGAGTTCCATCCTGCACAGGGGAGGCCTGGAGTTGTGTGTGGGATGAAAGGAGTAGGCTGACATCAGGGGAGAAGCAGAGGAGGGATGGGGCTGTGCTGATGAAGGCTTAACTGATCCTGCATCCTTCTTCTTCCTCCTCCTCCTTGCAGCAGCAGCAGGGTGTCTCTCCTTGCAGGATGCCCCCGACTGATCCATGTCTCCTCTCTTTCTCTTTCCCCCCAGGCTGTTCCTCTAAGTCGTTCAAGCTGTACTCGCCAAAGGAGCCCCCGAACGGCAACGCCTTCCCCCCCTTCCACCCAGGCACCATGCTGGATCGAGATGTGGGGTGAGTTGGGGCCCAGGGAGGGATCTGCAATGCTGAGGACACTGTGTAGTTTGCACCCCAGGGTCTCTGTGTTATGCTTCCCAGCAGTAAACAAACTGCAGTGTGCATGGAGTTCAGTTAGCACAAGAGCAAAGAGGGAATTGGAGCAGGCAGAGGTGATAGTGGGTTGAGAACTAGTGATATTCAGGATGAAGGAAGCCTCCAGGTCCTGAGCTCTGTCAGGCCAAGCTCTTTGCCTGGCCAAGCCCCTGGGATGACAGGGAGCCATCCCAGCTCCTGCCAAAAGAGCCCCTTCTTTAATGTCTGTCCTGCCTGACACCAGTCACTGCTGCAGAGGAGCTGGATATGTCCCCAAGGAGCAGTTGGCTAAATACTAGGGGTGGAGCAGCCAGTGATGTGGGATCAGAGCCCAGTTTTGGGCTACAGGTCGCCCCATGGGGCTGTCAGATATTGGTAGCCAGAGTGGAGTCTTCACTGTGGGGAGGGTCTCACCTCCAGTGAGCCTGACTGCCTGCTGTAGCCAGGGAAGGAGGAGCTGTGGTGAGCAGGGAGATCCCTGCTAGCACTGACGTGCCTGCATCTCTTTCCACTGCTAGACCTACTCCTATGTACCCACCGACGTACCTGGAGCCTGGAATCGGGTAAGCATGGGGGGCTGATATGGACCCTGCTTGGTGGGGAGCTTGTGCCTGTGGTGGGGGTGCCTCAGCAGGGCCAGCATGCTGGCTGACTGGGGCTTGTGGGAGGATTGTTCAGACTCTTCCAGCCCTGGAGGGGCTATATGTGTTCCCCCTGTGGGCTCAGGACCCTTCCACATCCTGTGGCTGCCTCCCCCTCTGATGGCTTGCTGTGCTCTCTGGGCAGGAGGCACACGCCGTACGGGAACCAGACCGACTACAGGATATTTGAGCTCAACAAGCGGCTGCAGAACTGGACAGAGGTAGGCAGCTGGGAGAGCGAGGGTTGGCCAGGGCAGTGTTTCAGCAGTCCCACCTCCTTCTCCCACGTGTGGCCATGGGACAGGGTTTATCACCCCCATCTCTGAGTACTCAGCTCAGAGCGCAGTCCTCTGCTGTGCCTGGCAACCGATGTCTATCCGTCTGTCTGTCTCTCCTCTCCATAACTTAGCATCTCTCTGCCATCCCCAGGAATGTGACAATCTGTGGTGGGATGCCTTCACCACAGAGTTCTTTGAGGATGACGCCATGCTAACAATCACTTTCTGCTTGGAGGATGGACCAAAGAGATACAGTGAGTACCAGCTTGAGCCCTCCTTCCTAAGGGCATTGCCCTTCAGCAGAAGACAGTTGTGTGCTCAGGGGGATGTGGGTAGGGTGTCTAAGCTCAGCTGTTTCCAGCCGGAAGGTATGGGGGGACCCTATTCCTGTACATTCCAAGAATATCTGGATGAAACAGGTTTACTGACCTTATTTTCCTCCTTTTCCTGCTGCAGCAATTGGCCGGACTCTGATTCCCCGTTACTTCCGCAGCATCTTTGAAGGGGGAGCCACAGAGCTTTACTACGTGCTCAAGCACCCCAAGGAGTCCTTCCACAACAACTTCGTCTCACTGGATTGTGATCAGTGCACCATGGTCACCCAGCACGGCAAGCCCATGTTCACCCAGGTACTGCTTCTGCTGCCCCTCCTGCCTTGGCTTTTTGTGCCCTCTTGGTGGCACAGTCCTACAGGGCTGTGCATTTTGGGCTCGTGGGTATGGCTTCTGCTGAGACTCCTGAGAGCAGAGGCAAGCCACTGTGAGAGTATTCCAGTGTGGAGCAGTGGGTTCCCAGGGGATCTGGACTGAGGGAAGCTGGGGCACTCTGTTCCTGACCTTGTGCCCTGCCTGTCCAGGTGTGTGTGGAGGGACGGCTTTACCTGGAGTTCATGTTTGATGACATGATGAGGATAAAGACATGGCATTTCAGCATCCGCCAGCATCGAGAACTTATTCCCCGCAGCATCCTTGCCATGCATGTGAGTACAGCTCCAGGAGCTCCTGTGAGCATGAATGACACAGGGCTGCTGAGCTCCTCAGGCTGCTGTGCAGGTTGGGGGAATTCAACCCAGTCCTGCATCACAGGCTGGGGCACGGGAGGGCTGTTCCCAGCCTGGATGTACCTGAGCCTCCGGTCCCTCTCACTCCTAGGCACAAGATCCCCAGATGCTGGACCAGTTATCCAAGAACATCACACGCTGTGGGCTCTCAAACTCCACACTCAACTACCTCCGAGTAAGTGTGTGAGAAGAAAGGTGTTGCAGCTCTGCCATGTCTTGTCCTCTCAGCTGCCTGATGCCTGGCTGCCCTGGGGTATGGGTAGGCTGCAAGACTGGCTTTGCAAAAGAAATCTTGCAGAGGGGTTGTAGAGAGCTGTGGGGCAGTGGGTGTGCCAAATCCCACAAGCTCACAGTGTGGCTTGGGTCGTTGCAACACAGATGCCTGCCTGTAGAGGGGTCAGGGTTATGGAGTCTCCATTTTGCTGGGGCTCAGAGCGTTGCAATCTAATGCAGAGTCTGCTCTCTACAGCTCTGTGTAATCCTAGAACCAATGCAGGAGCTCATGTCACGGCACAAGACCTACAGCCTCAGTCCCCGGGACTGCCTCAAGACTTGCCTCTTCCAGAAGTGGCAGCGGATGGTCGCTCCGCCCGGTGAGTCTCACACTGCCTGCTGTGCTGCCTGGGGGTCTCTGGGACTGCCTGCTCAGGCCCTGCCCTCGGTGCAGGCTTCTCCCAGCCCCAGAGCTGTTCTTGGCCCTGTTTCATGAGACTGGGGGTGGTGAACCAGGCATTTGACTTCCCAGTGGGGCAGAGCAGGGCTTAGGCAGCCAGTGCTCCCTGCCAGCTGTCTGTGGAAAGCAAAGCAAGGATGGAAATGTTCGTGCCCCCTCACCTGTCCTCTGGTCTTGGAAGACACCAGAGCTGTGGAGGTGAGGACAGCAGTGATACAGCCTGGAGGGGGAATGTGGTCCTTGAAGAAGCAGGGTTTGCATAAAAGGGCCTGGGGGGCACCAACTTCCTCTTGTTGGGACTGACCATATATGTATGTCTCCATCCTCCACCAGCCGAGCCAGCACGGCAGCAGCCCAGCAAGCGCCGGAAAAGGAAGATGTCGGGGGGCAGCACCATGAGCTCCGGTGGGGGAAACACCAACAACAGCAACAGCAAGAAGAAGAGCCCAGCCAGCACCTTTGCCCTGTCCAGTCAGGTACCTGTAAGCATCCCGTTTCCATTCTCTCTTCCTCCTCTGGGGTGGAGGGGAGGGTTCTCTGCCCCTGCCCTGGGAGCTGCTAGGGGGAGACCCCCAGGGACTGCCTATCTGAGCCACCTCAGTTCTTCCCATGTGACGGGGAAAAAGAAGGAGAGGGTGTCCCAGCTTCCTTCCCTGAGAGTCCGTTTGCTCTCCTGCAAGGGAGTGAGGATGTGTTTGCCTCACTCAGTGTCCAAGCTCGGGTTCTGCAGTGGAGATGAGGAGCTGGGGAAAGGGGCTGCGCTGATGAGAGGGGGGGTCTAGCGGCCCAGGCTCCCCCCACCTCGATTATGTTTCGGGACCGTCTCCCCTTTCAGGATGTGATGGTGGTAGGCGAGCCCACGCTGATGGGGGGGGAGTTTGGGGACGAGGACGAGCGGCTCATCACCCGGCTGGAGAACACGCAGTTTGACGCCGCCAACGGCATCGACGACGAGGACAGCTTCAACAACTCGCCGGCGCTGGGGGCCAACAGCCCCTGGAACAGCAAACCACCCTCCAGCCAGGAGAGCAAGTCAGAGAACCCCACGTCGCAGGCGTCGCAGTAACGGCCCCCTGCCGCCCCGTGGACTCAGTCCCAACCAATCTACCTGTACATTTGCAATGGAGAGTGACTGGGAAGCGGCGAGGTACCGGGGGCGGATCCGCGCCACGTGGATGATGGGGTGCACGGCCCGGGGTGCACGCCAGGCAGGCAGCCCCCAGCCGTCACCCCCGCCGCCTCCCCGCACCCCACGCCTGCCTCCCTGACGGACCCCAGGGCAGGGGTGGGTTTCCGGGGCCATAGCTTCATTATTCCCCCTTCGTTCTTCTTTTCTGCTTCTTGCCCAGAGAGCTTCTCATCCCTGTCCCAACATGCCCAACCCCTTCCTGCCGAGTGAGGGGGAATTAGTGGGGAGGTGTTGGCAGCGGTTACCAGATGCCATGTGTTGGGGTCTGGCACAGCACAGAGACCCTCCTCTTCCCTGGGTCCTGTGGCTGGTGTTTGCTGAGCAGCCACTTGCAGTGGGGTTGCACATCCCTAGTCCAACCTGGGGCTGGTTGGGAGGGGCAGTGATGGAAAGCCTTCCCTGTGCCTCAGGCTCTGCCACAAAGCTTCCTCTGGCCAGGGTCAGATCCTGCAGTGCTGGGATGGTGTTGAAGATAGGGCCCCGTCGCATTTTCCCACTCTCCTGCACCTTCCCCTTCCCCTCGCTCCCCGGAGCGAGAGTGCAGCACAGCCATGGGGGGACTCTTGTATATAGGAAGTGCGTGGCGGGGGGCTGGGGAGGCACGGAGGACCCGCAGCTCTGCCGGAGCAGCCGGTGCCCTTGTTCCCTGCCTGCAGCCTCTGTGTTTCCCTCCACCCTGCGTGAGTCTGCCTGGGGCCCCTTTGCAACCCCTGGCTCCCGGTACCTCCTACTTTTGTCTTTTTTTAAGAAAAAAATAATATTATTAAATTGTAAGTTTAAAAAAAATGAAAGAAAAAAAATGGGAAAATACCCCCTCAGCCCCCTTGCCTATTCCCCCCTCCTATCCTGAGCCCTTTCACCCTGTCCTGACTTTTGTACAGGCTTCTTCTCTTGGAAGTCTCGTTTTATATCCAGTTCGGAGAGCTTCAAACCAAGGAGAGACTTTGCAGACTTCCTTTCTAATCCCTCCAGAGGCTGGGGGGGGGCAGCCCCCCGCCTCCCTTCTCAATGTAAATCTTGTGTGCTGTTGTCCCCGCTCCCCCCCTCGGGTTCGTGTACCTCGTGCTTGTACATTTCCGCGCTGTAGACAGTGTGTACGATACTGTTCTTTCAATGTGTTATCACTAGAGCAGGTGCCTCCATTGATGTTAGGGGAAACGATGAGAAAAATAATAATTTTTGGGGGTTTTTTTTGGTTTAAAAAAAAAAAAAAGAGAAAAAAAGTAATCCCTTCCAAGGCTTTTTCCAAGGAGAAGATGGGAGGTGCCAGGGGAGGGTGTCTGTGCTAACTAACCAGTTCACCCCAGCAGCCTTGGAGTGGGGTTCTGGGAGAAGGTGGGAGTCCGGGCTGCTTGTGGGAACCCCCTGGCATGCCCTGTGGTGGGGTTGCAGCAAGTGCTGCTGTGGGGGGGGACTGCCCTAGTGGGAGTATGAGTGTGTAAGAGTGTGCGTGCGAGAGGTTTGTGTGTCTGTCTGTGTGCGTAAGGGAGCCTGGGGCAGGCGGAGCAGTCCTGAAGCTTGGGGGAGTGAGGGGTGCACTCCATTCTCTCTGTCAGACACCCCCCAGTTCCCTGCCGGGGATCCCACAGTCCGTGTCCCACTGCCCCATGGGGCTGGGGGCTGGCAGGTGTCACTGAGAGCCTGCCTGTGCTCGGGGGCTCTGGCTGCTGCAGGGGTGCTCCTAGCACCCCACGCCTTGCCCACCGTGGGTGAGACTGCAGGAGGTTGCTGAGATGGGGTGGGGAACAACCCTGTGTGCCCTCTCCTTCTGCTGTCCCTCTGGTTGGGTAGGGAGTCAGAGCCTTGGGTCAGCCCTGGTCTGCTCTCAAGCTGCAGATCCCTGGAGAGGTGCCTGTGTTGGCTCCTGGGCCCCTCCATGGGCAGGCTGGAGGTGAAGGGCTCGGCCCCTCAGACCCCCAGGCACGGGGGTCCCCACAGCCCCTTTGCAGGTGGGAGTGGGATCCCAGGATGGGAGCCTGCTGTGGCAGGGAGGGGGGCTCTGTGTCTCAATTAAGGTACGATTCTCCACGCCATGCCACACGGGTGCTGTGGAGGGTGCAGAGCCCTCACTGCCATGGGCACACTGTAATGCCTTCTTGTTTCTTTTTTTTTTCTTTTCTTTTTTTTTCTTTTTTTTTTTTTTCTTCTCCTTCCTCCCCTCCATAGTTTGTGCCATTTATGAGTCATGTATGGTACCAATAAAATGACTTTTCGGTTTGAAGCTGTCCTGATTCACTTAGATACTTGAGCATGGGACCAGGCAAGGCAAAGGGGGGTCCCCTCATGTCCCTGGTGCCCTGGCAGGGGGTGTGGGCACAGGGCTCACTGTGCTCCCCGGATGAGACTGGCCTGTCTCTGCCTGCTAGTTCCCAGGCAGGCCACAGCTGGCTCCCTGCCATGCCATGGAAAGCAGAAATACCAGCAAGGGTAAGGTAGGTACAGGTTTGCTGGGAGATGACCCAGTCCCCAAACCAGAGCAAACAAGCAGCTCAAGGCCTGCCTGGACACCAAGGTGATGGGCATGTTCCCTGGGGAGCAGTGGGGGCCGTGTAATTCTGCCTGGGAACGGGGCAGGAGCAGCTGAGCAGCATGGAGGTGTCCTGGAGGGAGCAAAGGACAGACGGGACCAATAGAGGGCCATCCTCCATGTGGACTATGCCAGTCTCCTTCCAGAAGCTGGAGTGCCCTGTGCCAGCATTTTTAGGGATATGGGGGAAACCATGGTCATAAAACAGGGCTGATGCAGCAGAGGGTGAGAGCAGGATGGGCCTGTGCCTTCAGAGTAGGGGTAGGGGTTGGGTTGACATCTGCAGTGACGGATGTCACCAGGCTATCCTTTCCCCTGACAGGGCTGAAGGATACAGGTAATGTGGCAGGAGCTCATGGCAAGGCAGGTGAGGGCAGGGTGGCCCCAGTGAGCCCATAGCACTCAGAGCTGAGGCATCAATCCCCTTGCTCCTAATATGCCCCAAGCTCTGGCAGGCTCAGTGGGATGCCCTGGGCCAGAAGGGAGCAATGCCCTGCAGAAGCAGATCCTGTCATCTGTGATGGATCCTGCACGTGCACCCAAGAGCTGCTGGAGGGGCCCCAAGACAACAAACACTTCGGGATTGAGGTCTGACCTGGAAAGCCCCCAAACCTCTTTCGCCACATCAACTCCAGGGCTCTGAGAAACTCACTAGCTGTTGCTCTTTTTTTTCCCCTCCTTTTTTGTTGGGATGAATCTGTGTCCTCTGCTGCTCTGGCCCAGTGGCAGTGCTGTGCCAGAGGATTCCACATGGCACTCTGGCGCCCAGCATGAGCCAGACCAGAAAGAAAACCTGAAGCAAGGCTGCCCTCCTCCCTGTGCCGTCTTCCCCTAAGGTCACGGAGTGCAGTGTTGCCTGCTTGTGCCAAGGAAAGTTAAGTAGTAACTGGGGGGTGGTGATAAGCAAAAGCCGGGGGTGCAGGACGGGCCAGGGAGCCCATCATGCAAAGGTCATTCAGGTACAGCTCACCCAGAGTTCCTGCTGGTCACTGTTCAAAAGCCCGTGGTGTCCCATGCAGGGACACAGGGCAGGGGCCAAGGACCATGCTGGGGGCTCCAGCTACTCTGGGGCAGGAGTGGAGGAGGTGCAAGGCACAGCTGAGGGCTGGCATAGGGGCAAGGTGGGCAGCGGGGATGGGCTCCCAGCGAGGGTGCTATAGCAGGGCAGGCTGCTGGACGGGCCAGCAGTGGCTCTGGCAGTGCGGGGTGAGTGCTGGTTCGGTTAGACAAGGAGGGAACATCCCCAGGCAGAGGGTGTGTGGGCGGCAGGCTCTCCCATGCGGGACAGGGCAAGGGCCGGGGTCTCTTGGGGAGATGCAGAATGTCAGGGTGGGCTGGGGCCAGGAGCAGGGGTGCCTCCCGGGTGGAGGAGGAATGCCAAGGTGCAGCGGGGAGGGATGGGGCAGAGAGCTCCCGCTCGGCAGACGAGGGGGCCGGCGCGGCCGCACACCCCGGACAGACCCCGGCAGACCGGGGCGGAAGGGGCGGCTCTGTCCGGCCCTTCCCGCACCTCCCGGGGCCGCCCGCGCCGCTGGCTCGGTGCGGAGCCCTGCTGAGCCGGGGAGCTCCGCCCGCCGGGATGTGACCCCCGGGGCACCTGCCCCACGTCCACCGGGTGCGTCCGCGGCACAACCGGGAGCGACCCTGGCCCCAGTTGCGGCTCCCGAACTCCGGCGGCGAGACGGCGGCGTGGGAAAGCTCTGCGGGGAGCAGGGATGGAGCCGAGCGGGCGCCCAGCCTTGGAGAAAAAATGCTGCCTGGAGGCCCCTTAGGCTGTTCCCCACTTGGGGGGACCGGGACGCGTGTGAAAAATGCCGGGTTTGCCGCAGTGCCCCATTTCGGAAGGTTTTTAGACGCCAAACCTGCTTCTGTGGCTACAGCTGGTTTGTGTTGAGACTGTGAACGACTCAACGCACCCCATCCCGAAAGGATGCAGATGGTGTGGGGCGGAGCGGGCGGGACGGCTGCCCTCGGGCTCACCCCGGGCCACCCAACTCCTGGGTTGGGGCAGGAGGAAACCAGCACGGGCAGGGGAGCTTGGCAGAGGGCGAGGAGCGGGACTCTTCCTGATACCTGCGTCGGGACAGATCGGTGGTGACCCTGACCCCGGTTTAGAGATGCGGCCCGAGGTGGCTGGGTGCCAAGAGCTGTAAGGGGCAGGGTGGGGCGATCCCGGCATCGCTGCCTGCCCCGACACACAGCTTGTCAGCAATCATCGCTGAAACTTAAACAAACCACAGACCTAGGCGCTGGCACGGTGTGGCTGGACTCTGTCGCAACTGTGGGTGCAGAGAGGTATCAGAGAACACGGTGAGTGCTCTGAATCCCCTTCATCCCCCACAGCCCCCCCGTCACTCGTGGGCACCTCCTGCCTGGCTTCCCACCCCACTGCTCACAGGACTCCCCATCCTTCCTCGGTGCTCTCCCGCAGCATTTTCCTTCCGGGCAGGAGCGGGCAGGTGCCTGGTTTTTTCTCTCTGCATTTCCTGGTCGGAGGCAGGGCAGGCTGAGTGATCCCGTGGCCCGACGATACCGACAGCTCCTCTCGCTGCCCAGGTGTCCACAGGAGCTGCTGCGATGGAGCTGGGGAACATCTCGAAGCCCACGTACGGCCCTGGCCCCGAGGCGCCGGGGAGCAGCACGCCGGGGCTGGTGACAATGGCACACGGCTTCCTGCGGCTGGTGCAGCCCAACGCCCTGCCCATAGGTGGGTGCACGGCGACGGGGGGCTGGCAGTGGTGTCTATGGTGTGGGGGGGCTGCTTGGGGTTGCAGGGTCTCATTAAACATGAGCCCTCCTGCAGTGGTGACTGTCTATCCAGCATTTAAACACTGGGGCACTGGATAAGGAAGGGTATGGCTGGAGTAATCAGGAGTGGGTTCCCAAGTATTGCCAGCTTTGTCCTGCTCGTGTCCCATAACAACCGTGGGGCTATCTTAGCTGGGCGCCAGGACAGGCGTTAGTGGTAGTGCCACATTGCAGACTCCTGCCCCATCCTCCCTCCAGATATTTTAATCCTGGGCCCCCAAAAATGTGCAGAGCAAACCCCACTCTCCCTCCAGGGTCTTTGTTGTCTTGCAGCCCTCTGTGCTTGCTGGCCACCAAGAGCAGTGTGTCGCAGTGCCAATGGCAGCACTGTGTGCTCTCCCTATGCACTTCTCTGCTTGCCAGCACTTGCCCTTGCTCCTGTCGCTGTCACAGCTCTGTCCCGAAGCAGCTGCAGGTTT